ATTTCCACGATACACCAATCAGAAGTAATGGGTGCGAATCCTCTGCCACTGTCTCCTTCCCCAGCCTAGCCCCAAAAACATAACTCAAAGAAAGAAAGGCAAGCCCTTGCACGTTGCACGTTTCAGACAGGTTTCAGAAACAATCACAAGTGGTGAGATTGCCAAACCATGCTGGATTTTGATGTGAAAAGGGAAACATGAGAGCTACTCTGCCTGCTTAATGCTGAAAAAAAAACGCAGAGCTGTTGAACAAGCCACAGCGAGAGAAAGTTAGCTATCCACAAAAGTTCAAATTGTTTTTACTTGTCTCCACTCCAGCAGTTCCCCTCTTAGAAAGGAAGTGAGCTCACTCTGGCTGTGGATTCAGCGAGCGTTTTACAGCAGCGCTGATCAGGGGAAGTGAAGGGAAGAGGAAGTGCTCGTGTAGCTGGTGACATCTGCAAGCCTTCCTCCAGCACATGGCTTGGCGCATCTCCACTAGCACATGGCCCATTATCTGACATAAACATGCGTAGGAACTCCCGAACCCGGTATAGATCGCTGCAGTTCTGATGGGATGTATGTGCATCGCACTACTTGGCTTGTGGTTTGGAGACAAGGGCGATTAAGAACAATCACCATTCTGTCCAATTGTGGGAGTTACCAGGGCTGTATATTCTGCCCAAATGCAGGAAGTAATGGATAACCGAGACAATGCAAAAGAGCCTGCAAAAATCCTGCCTTCGAGCTCTTCACTGGCTTTTCAGTTAAGTGGCTAAGTGTTATAGGAAGAAGGAAAGCCTGAATGAATTGGAACATGCAATATTTATGCGTCCTGTCCCACTGAGTGCATGCAACCACTCAAGTCAGGGTTCACTCAAACTCCCATTGCATACCTTTCAAGAAACATGCAAGTTCATTTTAAGACCCAAGAATTCTGAAATGGTGTTGTAAGGCTGTCCTAGAGCCTAGAAAAAAGCACGCCCTCGTTAGCAAGCCAAGTCTGAAGCAAAGCATATCCAGCACTTACACATCTAATATAACATGGCTCGTAAGAATACATACATACACACCGCCCCCTGCCAACTTACACTTCCATGATGCTTTACAGAATAAAAGCCCAATCCATAATTTATCTACTACACAGTCTTGGAAAGTAGTTATTACGCTCTACATGCATAAAAAACAACCAATGAATTTAAATGACCTGTAAAAGGCCACAAAACACATTGGTGACTTAACCAACATAACTGCAGTTCCTGAAATGCAGGCCTCTGAATAACCCACAATCAGGGCATGCAGCATGTTACTGAGCTCATTTGGCCTCGTGAAAATAAAGGGAGTGTGTGTGTAGGGGGGCAGGGAAGCAAATAAGGTTGAAAAATTTATAGCTTCTGGAACTATAAGAGTTCAGCTCACGTCTTCTGTTCTGCTAATCAAAACTATAAAACAAGAGTGAAGAAGGATGTCAGCTGATCTTTCATTTATTCATCTAATTAATTTCACTGCAAACTAGGTATTGACTATTCTAGCAATGACTGAACGTGGACAGGCACATTAAGTGCTAAAAATTCTCTAAAATTTAAGTTTAGGCCCCCACACAAACATGGACCACTTTAACTATTAGCACTGACCCTCACCAGGTGCTTCCCAAGAGGTTCTCACAGGGCTCTAAGGGCTCTTCCTCCTGTATGTCAAAGAATTTTGATTTTTATTTACTGATAAAGACTGCATATGTGAGCTACATATCCATCCCCTTTCAGTGAAAAAGTACAAGACAGTGTTCAAACCCACAGTCATTCCGGTACACAGATAAGTCAGAAGTAACTGCTGGAAAATGTGAACACTGATACTGACTCCACAGTGCAGCACTCTGAATTGCTTTATTGTAGCATTTATTTTATGAGTGAGAACATTACTACTATTTAGAATAGGGAAGAACATGCAGAGAAATTAGTTTTTAGAAATACCCCAAAGAAACAAACCAATAACCCTGAAGGGCAGTACTTTAGAGAGATGCTGCTGCTTCGGAGGCAACTTCAGAGTGTAAGCTCTACTTCAGAGTTAAGCTACCACTACAGGGTCACTAACACCAACTGGAAGATTATATAAAAAAAAAGGTAACTAAACACTATAAATCTGAACTCCAACTCAGCATCTTTTCACTCCAGCATCATACCTTGCCTCTGTGGATCTGTTTGTAATCCAAGCACAAGCTGCTCTGAAGACTGGATTACAACACACATGGAGGCGCATCCATGTAGGTATTATGGATTTACAGCAAAACCAGGCAAAGTTAACGGGGTTGGCAACACAGGTGAAGAACTTAGGTCATCAGTAAGATGACCTAAGTGTCACCAAAAGAGGATGCTCCAGATGCAAGTGGAGAACCCTAAAGCCACACTGAAAGCCAGTCCCCTATCAGATGTCTCCCAATGGGCAGAGCTGAATTTAGCCAAACTGCACGTGGCTTTCAGACAGCTTTGCAGTGCCCTGAGTCTACTGAAAAGAGATTTCTGCTTGAATCCAGGTGATATTCTGCCTTTTCTTATGACGTGCAATATGGACAGGCTGCTTCTACTAGTTTCTTGCAACCACAGCGGCCTTTTTGTTTCAGACTGTGTAAGCCTGATATTTTTTTTAAAGGATTTTTGAACTCAAAGCAGGAAGAAATAAGTTATTGCCTGTGTGTAAGCCTCACAAAGCATGCTGCCAGCCAACATTTTCCCTTAAAGCTGTACAACAGCACTGAAAACATCTGCAAAACAGCCCCTCCTGGAGATAAAACACCTAGCTAAGAAAACAGTGGAAACGCTTCTCCCTGGGAGCAAGCAGGAATCTTGCTTTGCAAAGCTGCTGAGGGTGGCAGGTTTGCTTTTGTTTAACTAAAGCTCATTCCTTCTCTAGGCGGTGCACTTCGCGGAGGGAAAATAAATAGGCTGGAAAGAAACCCAGCAGCTTGCTGGGGGTGGGGGGAAGCTGCAGGGAAGCAAGCTGCAATGGGAACGGGGAGGCAGAGCAGGGCTGGGGGCAGGAATGGTTCTGGGACCAAGGGGTGTTTGGGTGCAGGGAGCGCAGGTAAGGCCCCGGCCTGCGGCCTGCTGTGGGGTGGAGGCAGGAAGAGGAGGCCGGGAGCCGCTTTCCAAAAAGGAAATTTCACCCGGCCAAGGATTTCCAAAGTGCACTAATTTTCCATGGGCCAATCAGGGAGGAGCGAGGCAAACGAACCAAATTAGGAAAGTAAATACTGGAAAGGGGGAGAGGGAGGAGGAGGAGAGCAGAGCCTGTGAAAACGCCTCCCGAGGCAGCTGGGGAAGGGGGTGAGGGTCCCAGCCTGAGCCCCCTGCAGCCCTGCTCTGGGGAAGGGGCTGAGGACACTGTGTCAGCCTCGTGTGCTCATAGAAAGACACCAAAAAAGACAGCCAGAGTGCACATCGACACGCTCCCGAAGGGCAACGTTCCCCTTCTCAGAGCAAAACACCCAAACCGTGTCCCAGATCACGGCCCCGCAGGAGGCAAGAGCTGCGAGACCCCACGGAGGCAGAGAGGGAGGTTGAAGGGGCTGAGCAGGGATGTTTACAAACGTGTCAGCCCCTCCTCTGGAAGAGGAACTCAGAAACGAAAGGGATTTGGCAAGTGAAACCTCAGATGCCTTTTGAGGTTTTCTGAAGACTCTGCTGGGTTCGCTTCTGCTCGAGACAAACGGATGCACTCATTAATCATCTTTAGTAAACACCCCGTTAGGGGCCGAGCACAATTCAACACCACTATTTCCACTTTCTCCTTATGCAAAAGAAACATTCTCGGGGAGTCAAATATCAGTTGCAGGCATATGCCAGAGTCAAAAGATACAGCCTCCGTTAGTAACACAAACCACACTGCGCTGCTCTGCACAGGATGACTGAATGGAAACTAAATACCATATGTTGGCAAAGAAACCATCCCCCTCCCCTCCCAGCAACAAGCTTCATCTAAAAAGAGAAGGTTAAATATAAACTAAAAGCAGTGCCTGAACAGAGGGCTGAAACCACAGCTCCCTCCAGCCCCCTCTTTCTAGAATATCTGCACTGCACATCTGTGCAGCTCTGCAAGAGGGGGGAAAAACCCAAACAAGCAAGGGCCTCCAGCCCTATGCAAAACCAAACGGGCTCCATTGTGACCCTGAAGTCATTCTCAGCCATGTCGATTTGAATACTACTCACCGAATTAGCACTAACTGACAGAATGTGTTTGTTTATTACAACATTTTACAAATCTATGGACAAGAAAACAAACCAGCAGCTACTGCTTATTACTTTATTAACTAATTATTACTACTTTATTATACTTCAAGGAACAGCTTCAATGTTAAAAGAGATCAGTGCAAAGCTGTAACATCAGCTCTTCACTGAGAAAGAAGTGAAAACATTTGAGACAGTAACTTGATGTTCAGGTTGTGTCTACTGCACATTCTTGAATCGGACAGCTTACAAAACAGGATACTCGCACAGACGCCCATTCAAATCGCTACAGCCCCTCAGTGCATGGTCAGCATCCTCCCTGTTTCCTTCTATTCCCAGGAAACCACATGCCAGTGGCCACCCTCGTCCCTAGCTCCAGATAGCACCGGCACCACCCAGCAACAACAGAATGTTATTGAGATAAAAATAAAATAGGCAGTCCTAACAATATTTGCCTGCTTTCTTTTCTCCGCGTATATAGGTGGGTCTTGACAGATCTCTCTAATTCCTCTGCCAAAGATAAACAGCTCCATGCTGAGGCCAGCCCCCGCCCTTTGAGCTCTTACACAAAAACCCTGAGCCCTGCATTTAGGCAACAAAATTTTAGACTGTGCTCCATCATTCTGAACATCAGATATTTCACAGGTTATTTTTAATGGGGCATTTCATGCATCAAGTATAGCAGATAAAGAACACAAGGCTGATAAAGGCCGGCGTCAAAACAGCGATGGAGTTTCCAGAATACACACAGAAAGATGAGAAGAACCTCAGGAGGGTGGCAGGGGCTGGGTAACATCTTACCTGATAGTGCCTGTGGGGGACGGGAGAGGACTGACCACGCTCCGGAGATCCGGCTCCGGGATGTGGATCTTCAGAGGTGATATTTGAGGGTAAAGTGGCCGAAGGGGAGGCGATGAGGCTTCTTCTTTTACTTCCTCTTTATGGTATAAAGATGTGAACTGGATCTTTATAACTGTGCTAGGGAATCGAAAAGTACACCTGTACGGGAAAGAAAGGGAAAGTCACTGTCACACATGATGCTAAACAGTTTGAATGTTTTTATATGTAACTATTGAATCATTAATAAATTAATAGCATAAAAATCCACCACCCGCTACAGCATCTTTCTGCCCAGACTCCTAGGCAGGAATTGTTCATCATTCACAAATCACTGCATATACATCACAGGGATTTCAGATGCAAGCTGAAGGCTTGGGTAGGCTAAATGATTTCCCCAAGGCCATGTATTCCATCAATGACTAAGCGTGACATAGAACTACAAAGACAAACCGTTGGGTTCCTGCTTTATCAAGGTCTAGAATTTATCTTTTATTGGCTCCTTGCACATAACTCAGGAAGGTGCGAGTTACTAGAAAGTATCAGGCCACGAGTAACACTCAACAAAAAAAGCCATAAAGACCAGACAGCCCAAACAGCCCCCAGGAAGACCAGACAGCGCCATTTAGAGACCGGCCTCTACACACTGTAAAACTAATATCCATTTATATCTCTGCACATGATGCTAAAAGATAATCTAGCAGGTTTCCTATTAAAAAAAGAATACATTTATTTACAAGTGCCTCCTTTGGACGGCGTGGCTTATAGCTAAGAGGGTCAGAACAAGGCTGCTACAAGTCTACAGGGTTTCATTTCTTTTATAAAAACATTTCTTTCCAATTGTTACTTAGAAAAAGCAAATGATCACACATCTACATGTGTAGCCTTCAAGAGATGCTGTGAAATTCAAAAGGAAATAAGCACTGACATTTTCTGTATTTGAACAGAAAGCTTTCTAATTTATAGTGTCTACAATAGGCACGGGGCTGTAAAAGCGAGTGTTCTGCAGTTCTACTTATTGCGCTTTAATTAGACAATAATGTGCAATCAATACAAGCTTTCCAGGGATCATTTCACTGATACTAAGGTTAAAGAAGCAGGAAATAAAAACCAGGTTTCACCGTGGGAAAGGCCAGCAGAGCACAGCAATTGTGCTGGCTTCCAGCACCTCGCCTATAGAAGGAAATGAGGGGACGTGGGCAGCGTTGTTCTAGCACCACGAGCATGGCTGAACATAATCCCTTTAACCAGGGTATTATTGAATCCTGTAGGTAACAGAGCCAGGTGGTAGGCAAGTAAATCAGCGTTTGTGACTGCCTCATCTCACCTCTGCTAGTGAGAGAAATACAGGGAAACGTTTTGTTGCTGCTCTAAAAACATACTTTCCTGCTCTTGGTGTCTCACAATCTAGTTCTGCTGTAAGGTAACGCTCAGAAACCTGCTGTGAAAAGAGCGAAATTATCATTTTGGCATGGGAAGCTCCTCCTCATCTCCCAGCTCATCTCGAGTGAGCTGGCTCAGCATCCGGCAGCATGGAATCGCCGCGGTGCTGCTACGTACAGCAGGAGATTGTGCAGCTTTTCATTCCCTTCAGAGGTCCTGTGCTTGTTACTGCATGAAATAAGAACACTACTGCTGCCCATGCAGCCTGGCCATGCTTACCCAGCCCTTCTAACCGAGCCCAGGACAGTCCAGCCCTCGTTTAACAGTGCTCAGTGTGATCCCAACAGGTCTGGCTTCCCTGCAGCAGCTCCGCAGCACGGTCTGGCCAGCCCCGCACTGTGGTGCACACCAGCAAGGAGCCCTGTCCCACCACCACCACGTTTTGCTTTTCAGAGGAACTCAATAATGTGAGACCAGCATCTCCTCCTGTCACTGCCTCCAGGTCATGCAGCCAGCTCCTCAACTCCATTTTATTTCCTGATGCTGTAACGTTAGATAAGAAGGTGCTAACTGCACCCAGGCTGCTGCCACCAGTCCAGGAGCACGGACAATCTTCACAAAGCCAACTTTTGGTTTTCCTAAATCCTAAATCAAGCTAACTGTGAAGTTTAAGGCGACCCAGCAGCCGTGTGCCTAAGAGGCCCGTCTCGCACAGCGTCTCCTTGGGAGCCCTCCCCGGAGCTATCGGGTTCAGCCACGTGATTTACCCGCACTGGAACAAGGGAGAGAAACGGGGAGGCTGGGCTGGGCTGGGCTGGCTCCACAGGCAAACAATTTGTTGGCTGCTGGGATTTCGTTTTTAGAAAGACAGCCCTCCCGGCCCACTGGAGCAGAACCCAGGCCGCGCAGCTAGCTTTAACATCTCGCTAGCCAGCACGTATGTGGCCCTTTTGTAAGAACCAGTCCCACAAAAAGCAGAGGGTGGAAATCTGGGAGGGTGGGCATGGTTTCAGAAGGCTTCTGAAGCTTGGGCTGTGCTAGTTCCTGCTGCCTGGCAGAGTGGGGGCAGCTGGTCCGAAGTGCCTGCATGCTTTCAGTGCTGTAAAAAGCAGGGACGCAAGAAATGGAAGCGCAATGCGAAACGCAGAGCACAGATTCCTGCACAACTCCTCCCCTCCCTCAGGGGGAAGGTGCCTGGGATTAGTGTTATTGTTGCAGTCCCTGTTCCAACAACCGCAGAAATACCAGCAGGGACAGCCTCGGTGCAGCCCAGAGACACTGCCCCAGGTCAGCCGACACGCACCGACACCAGGGAGCCGTGTCACCGGGAACTCGGGACAGCCTCACCATGAACCATGTCACAGCCAGCTCGCTTTTCATTACACTAAAGCTGGATGCAGTTTTAATGAGCTTTTCTAATTGTTCCCTTAATTAACCTCTTTCCTAGCAAGAAGGATAAATGCAAATTGTATCAGGTAGTTCTATTTAGAAACCGAGGCACATTAGTGCAGGATTTAAGCCTATGAGAATTGTACTTCTCCAGAAGATAAGCTGGACAAGACAGGCAGCCCAAGCAGACCCGAGCACGCATTCACTAAGATTTCTGTATATATTTGAAGTTATTTAAGCTGAATTAGACTATTTGATCCATGTCGCATGGTTCCTATCGAAGATGCACAGCAATTACCACCACGGCTTAACGTTTCCATCATGAGAAAAAGATCAATCTGAAAGTTAGACTCAGCATATAAAGCATAATGAAGACAACTGCTATTTCCAAAGGTGTCTAAGATGCAACTCTTTTAAGCACCTCAGAAATTCCCAGCTGATTACAGAGCAATGAATTAACGGTCCACAAAAAGCTCTCGGTCACCTGCAGGCAGGAGGCAGCCTGCCTCGATTGCAGAAGCGCAGAGCTGTCCTCGATAACCTGCTCCAGACAGGTCCAACCTGTAGTCCCAGGCCATATAAACCTCACCTATTGTATAAAACATGATGTAACTGTGTGTGAGTACACCTGAAGTCCTTCTGGGAAAAGGATTCCCATTTCTCCAGGATCCTTGCGAGGCAGGGAGAATGTGCGTCTTCAAACCAACAACACATGCATGCAGCAGGCTCCAGAAATTGCATGGAAACAATTCTTGCCTTGTGAGATTGCAGGCAGGAGAAAGTCAAAGCAAACGGCTTGCTGGCTCCCTGCTGCATGCCTGAGCTCACTGAACGCACGCTATATATACATTGGAGACCAAGGGCAGCAGGAGGAGTGCACATGCCACACATTGCTACAGCGACGTAACAAACAACAACAAAATGTTGCTAGAAATGCTTGTTTGCTTTAAGTACGACAGAATTTCAAAAGTTTCCTGGACAAGCTCCTCACGCTGACAACACAGCGCCCGTGCTATTAGGCTTCCTTCATGTGGTGAACCAGCGACAGTGACCACAAGCATTTCATCTACGTAAGGCCTGAAAATAAAACGCTAGGGAACACTAGACTTTACATAAACATTCACCCCTAATGCAGGCTTCGGGGAAAATGGTTAGGGGAAAAAAAAAAGGCAACATGACAACTCCACACCCTGCGTGACACCATAAAAACCAGAAATGTTCTCCCCCCTCCTCCAAGTGCCTTTTACTCACAGATGCAAAGGAGATCGGGGTGCATTTGCCAAAAGGTAGTGCCAGACTCGGTAGAAATGGAGGCTATTCACTGATTTCTTTGTTAGAGCACCCTGCGTGCTGCTCCCCACCAAATGGCTTCTGCTAAAATCTGTTTCACAAGGGCAAGAAAAGGCTGCTCGGAGAGACTTAGAAAGGAGACAGGAAATGGAGCTGGATTCAGGGCTGTGCATTTACACCGCAGAAAAGCACAGTGTAAAAACAGAGAAGACAAAGATCATGAAGAAGCCAAGTAAAATAAAGAAGCTTATATACGTACGCATGTATTTATTATATATATTAAACATCATTCTGGTTTATGATGCAAAGGGGAGCAACCAGAAGAGCTGTCACTCGAGCTGCCGTCACTGAGCCAGCACTACCTCTGCCTCCTCCATCATGCTGCAGTTTCTGGAAGCCACTGCTCCTGCGAACACGCCCCGAGCACCCGTGCTAGGAGCTGTGCCAGGGCGCAGGCTGAGCAAGAAACGTTTTGTGAGATGCTTCATTGAGAGTAACGCTTTTCGCCATCTGAATCAGAACTGAAACACGGGGCTGTGGCTCCATTCAGAAAAATTAGTTAGGCATGATGGTCCCCCTCTGCTGCAACTGCCACCTTTTCTTTTTAAGCTCATGGCTACCGGTAGCACCCCCTGACCCTGACACCCTTCCCTCTGGCACACCACGCCAGGGGACAGCAGCCACAGCACACCCTACAAGGTGGCGGTCACCTCCCCAGTCAGTGCCCTGCTCAGACCCAGCCAATGCTGACAGGCAGAGCTCTCACCGCAGCACCAAGTGCCATGGCGAAACAGAGCCATCACTCACTAAAATTTGACTGAGGAGCCCCACAAAAGCCTTTGTAAGAGGTATTAAAATCCCCAACCAAACCGCACACACCAGCCTTTATTCTGTCCCCTCCAACTCCTCATCAGTTCCGTGCCATGCACCCAGAAGAACACCGTATTATTCCCATCCAAAACCACGCTGGGTTTCTCATCTCGACTGAGAATTTGCCTTAGTTCACTTTTGTTAAGCCATTACCATTTCCAGTTATTTCAAGGTACCTGATTTCACCAGAGGGCAAGACGGATCCTTCTCACCCTTTAATGCAAGGTGTA